AAATTAAAAATAGACCCCTTATTCTTCATTGATGGCCAAGCAAGGAACAAAGAGAAGAGATGAGAGGAAGAGAATTATGAGATCTCTTTTTCCACCAAACTCCTCCTCGACCACCACCCGACCATTGATTATTATTATCGGACTTTCGCCCACCAATTATCGTCGGACTTATACCTGGCCACCGGTTGTCACTAGATTTTCTTCCGACCACCATCGCTGACTATGATCTTTAGACCTCCGATCCGTCGCCCGCCAACTACAGTCATTCCAACAACCCTCGCCTGACTATGATCTTTTTGACCACCGTCACCCGCCGACTACGTCCCTTCTGACCTCCATTGCCGGTAACGATCTTTCTAATCAAAGTCGCCCGCCAACATCGATCCTTTCGACTCCATCATCAGATAATGGTCCTTCTAACCCCTGTCGTTTGCCGACTACCGTCCTTCCATCCTCCGTCCCTAGACTACTTTCTTTCCGACCTCTGTTGCATGCCAAAATTATGGTCCTTCGAACCTCTGTTGCCAAATTAAGTTCATTCCGACCTCCTTCGCCCACTGACTATGGCCCTTCCAACCTCCATTGCTTGAATTGACAACGGTCTTTTGAACCACCGTCACACGCCGACTATAGTCCTTTCGACCGTTGTCACCTGACTATGATCTTTTCAACCTCCGTCGTCCGCCAACTATGATATTGCCGGCCAAACAAACATGTCAATATTGATTCTTTCAATTCCCACCATATAATGCACTCTATATGACGAATATTTGTTACATCAAGCCAACTCCTTCCCCCAAATGAAGGACCTCATTTGTAATCGACTGCAAACAGTAGTGCAAGTTGTCAAATTACTTTTAGGTTAAGTTTGAGATAGTTTACTTAATGCTTTCTAAAATAACATTTTAATAAAAAAATTTTAATTCTAAAAATTTCAATATTAAATAATCATTTTAAAAAATAATAAGAAAATTTTCTCAGATGAAGCCTTAGTGAAGCTAACTGCAAACTTAGGAAACCTGTGTTTACTTTCTAAATTTTTGTCATGACTGAAGATTATAAAAATAATACCCACAGATAGAGAGTTCTACTGCTTTATATTCTTATAAAATCAATACATTTTTAATGATCGAGCTTACATAACATCTCAGAGGAAATTGTTAGAACAGTAGAAAGTTGTCTGCTGAAAAGCAGCTGCCGACTAATTTGGAGAGGAAACGAAGACAAAATTTTTAGTGGATTTACTAACGCAACACTCAACAACAGGAGTCGGCAAAAAGTTTCGGGTGTTTTGGAATATCAAAGAGTGATGGGCTAACATAATTAATTAATTAATTAATTTTTAAGGGATTTACATACATATCATTTTATTTCATGCTATTTACATATCTAATATCTAAAATTTTAATATTACATTCCTACCACTCATATAAAATTTTAATATTAAATATAACAGTCATATATTAACTTAAATTATTTTTTTTAGTATCAACATTTTAATTTTTATACTAAAAAATAGTTTTAAGAAGCAGTAAAAAAATCGTCCCAAATGAAATCTTAGGCTTCATTTGGAATAGTTTTTTTACTATTTGTAAAGCTGCTATAGAGAAAGCAACTTTTATTTATTTATTTATTTTTTATTGTTTCGGAGGATTTGATTTGAGATAACAAAGCCTTTATTCAAAAAAGTTCTCAATATTTGATATAAAATTCCTTAGAAAAATAAAATTTACATTGGATTCACAATCAGTGTATATCTTCTAGCTAGAATCCAATGCATTTGTACCAGGTGAAAAAGTATTAGATAGTAATTACAGATTAATATAAGACTGAAGGAAAATGATAGAAATAAATTATATTAGTAATAATTTAGAATACTATGTTAAATGCTTAAATTAGTTGATTTTCTTAAAATAATTAATATTGACTTGTTATTGTTGCTGCCTTTGTATTCCAATTCCCCACCATGAATATTTTTTTTCTTACTATCAATATCTACAATTTGAATATGATCAAATTATATTTTATTTGGGGTAATTTTTTTACTGTTTTTTAAAGCAATTTTTTAGTATCAAAATTTCAAGTTCAAGAAAATTTTAGAATAAAAAGCTGCATTATAAAGTAGTAAGAAAGTTGTCCCAAATAAAATCTTAGGCTTCGTTTGGGACGGCTTTTTTATTGCTTTCTTAAACGGAGTTTTAGTACAAAAATAAAAATTTTTGTACTAAAACTCCGTTTTAGAAATCAATAAAAAGCCGTCCCAAACGAAGCCTTAGTAGTGAAGGTAGTTTAGCTTTAGACCGTTGAGCGGACATTTAATTTGAACAAATTTGGACATTTTAGTTGCTTGGGGAAGTTAAAAAGTAAGTGAAAATTTAGATTAGAAGACCTAAAAAATTAAAATCGTACTTTTCTGGCAGAGAAAAACAATAAAACAAAAGTTTTGCCACGATGGAAAACAACTGTTTATTACCCAAAGCCACCTCTTTTCCTATGCGAATTTTTACGGACATCCGGACATCTAATTCAGACGCGCCACATCATCCAAATACACTGGAGCCCAATATATTTTAATGACGTGATGCATCTAAATTGATGCCCGGACGAATCCGAACACCGAACATAATAATTTGCCCTTTTCTCCATTTTATTTTTATCTTTCTTCGTACTTTTCTTTATTTACTCTTTTTTGAAGGCTAACATGCATGGCATCCCATTCTTCATCAATGAACCAACCCACCGTCCCTTCCTAACCTCTCAATGAATGGACTGTGGTCAACTCAATCCAAATTCAAAATACCATTAAAGAAGCATCAATATTCGTGTTTAGGTCAAACGGTTTACTTAATGCCAGCGACTTTTTTTAAGAATATGTTGGCAACCCCATCAGGAATCATTTTAGCGGCCAAAGCTCAATTTATTAATGAAAATTATTACATATAATACTAAAAAAGAGCTATAAATAAATATACAATTAAATATTTTAACTCAAAACATATTCAAAATAATCATAAAATTGTGTGTAAAATAAATCCCAAAGCTAAAAAATTGAATATCAAGAAATAGAAGTGGGCTAATGAGGCACTCAGCTCGATCAATGACCGCAATTTCAATATGGGATGTATTAAAAAAAAAAAAGAAGACACCACCCTTTTCTTACTGCTTTTAAAGCAGTTTTTTAATGTAAATTTTTTTTAAGTTATAAATTTGAGACTTTTACGTACATAACACTTAAAATTATTGAAAATACGCATTCATCGCCCAAATTATTATATTTAATACTATACCACCTAAAATTTTGAGTATATATATATTTTCAATAGTTTTAAGTGTTATGTATATAAAAATTCCTATAAATTTATGTACTAAAAGGCTATTTTATAAACCAATAAGAAAATTATCTCAAGTAAAGCCTAAAACTAATAATCCTAATAATAAAAAGATTTTCAGCAAGTCCAATAAAAAAAACTAACTCGCTAGAGGCAATTTTAGGGCATCTCCAACGAAGAACACCATTTTTTACGGCAAAATACAGCAAAACTTCAAAATGCCGCGGTGCTGCTTCAATCCAACTGCATTTTAAGTACTTCTGCGAATATAATGATCCTTCTCCTTTCGCGTGTTTTTCCTGTTGAGAGAGCAATAGCGTAGGTGAACAGTGTGACGCCAATATTGACGTCACACTGTTCACCCGCAAGTAAATGACGAAAGATTTGGCGTTCCGCTGGAGTGACCGAACGACGTCATACACATATTTGACGTTCGGTTGGAGAGCTCTTAGGAAAGAACAGTTGTCATTTTTATCTTCATCAAAATGTTCTTTGTGAGAAATAGATCGAATGGCATTCACTTTTGCACTAATTAAAAAGGCAACCAAATCCGGGGAAAAGTACTTGCTTGGGGTCCGCCACTACGGAGTCCTGGAACTCTAAACATACATAACGGTCCTTTTTTTTGACCGTTACGAGCCGTCCATAAATAAAAATTTTCGGAATTAAATAATATATTTTTAATATATATCACAAACCCAATTTTTATATATTCATATATTTCATATCTAAATTTTTATATTTAATTATGTAATACTAAAAATTCTAAATCATATTAAAATATGTCTAATATTATATTTTCTAAAAATTTATCTATAATAATTTTCCCATTACTTTAATTTCTAGGCTTGCCCACATATTTATTCAGCCATTATTTTTTATATCAAATTTATTTCAATGTGATAGTTAGAAGAAAGCTACAATGGGTTTTTTTAGAAAAAAAAAATTCATAAATTCATAATTAAAAAAAATTCAGAAAATTTTTCAATCATCTTTATAGAAATACATATTTTGTATCAATAATTAAAATATTATTTAACTAAAAATTTAAATTTAAATAATAAATATGTAAATATATAAATTTTTTTATGTCGTATTAATAAATCAACATATCTTATCTTCTACTTTTAACCCCCCACCTTCATCTGCACTACTCTAAAGCCTCTTAAAGATAATCAAATGGCTAGACACTATAGTTTTATCAATCTCAACTCAATAATCAATAGTCTTGCATGAGAGCCAAAATCAATCAGCTAACATCAAAATTGGATCGCAAAAATTGGACTCGATCCAATCCAAATATGTTATATCGAAAATGAAATTATTTTGAGCTTCATACTTTTGTGTCGCAAAATATAGAATTATTTACATTAAAATTCATGCAATAATATCATTATTAATATTTATTATAAAATTCGTTTGTAACAACATTCTATGATAAATTTTAAGATACCAAAAAAAAAAGTGTTGACTATAAAAAGTTTAAATTATCATCTAAATTTAAAATTTGAATATTATTGCTATTAAAAAAAAAAAAAAAACGTAATCCGGTTCGGTCCGGGTGGACCCAAACCATCCTTAGGGCTCAAGCCAATATCCGTACGAACCACTCCCAGTACTTACACTGTTTCTCTATCTCTATATAAGCTTGCCTGGACCTTTCAGCTTCTTTCAGCAAGCTTTCAGCTAAAACTCCTAAAAGAGCAGAGAGAGAGAGAGAGAGAGATTCCTAGGGTTTGCACGATGGGGCGTTGGATGTTGTCCGTTAAGATAGTTGCAGCCTCGGCCGCCGTCTTCTCATCGGCGGTGGCTCTTCAACTTGCTTCCCAGCCGGTGACGGAGTTCCTCGTCGCCGAAGGCCCTCGTTTTTACAAATCTATAGCCTCCTGGCTCACGCCGCCCTATCTTTACTTCATAATCAACGGCATCATAATCTCCATCGCAGCTACCTCCAGATTTCAGAAGACCATGGCGGCCGATAGCCACCTAAGCCTCGGTACAACTCTATCAGCCCCACCGCCTTCAATCTCAGCCGACCAAGACCTTCCCGAACCGATTGAGTACATTTCGAAGGTTACAGAGGACGCCCGTTTGTCGCCGGAGTTCCTCGCTCCGGAGATTGGCCCAGGTAAGGGCATGGAGTTGCCGGAGTCTGCGGCGGACTCGGAGTTGGAAGAGGGATTTGTGATTTCGAGGTCAAGCTGGTCGCCAAATAGGAGGGGGTCGAGTGAGAACCTGCTGGAGAAGTCCGCTGCTGTCGGATCTGGAGGAGCTACGCCGGAGAAGCCGCCTGTTTCAGCTCGTCTCGGCCGCAGGAAGAGCATAAAGGCAAGCCCTGAAGGTCAGATCCCCTGTTTATTTACTCCCTTCTATTTTCCCTTTTCCACCGGCTATTTGTTTGATTTTCCTATAAACCCTAATTATCAAGAAGTCATTATTTATTTTTTATTTTTTTGCATCTCTTTTTATAAATATAAATAAAGCATTTTACGACTTTATATCATGATTTTAACATTCAAATTTTTTTTACTGTTCTCATTATATATTATTACATCTTAATTTGTTTATCGTAAATAAATTTTTTTCTATTAAAAAGCAATTTTTTTTATAAAAAATCATATCTTAAAGAAAAAATTTGAATCTAAACTTTAAAATTAAAACAGACCTTCGAACAATGAAATATAATAAAATCTCTGTTTTTTTTTTTTTGGAGGAAAAAACCCAACATAGGCAACCCAGATGAGCATAAAAACCACTAACGATGGAAAAATGGCAAATTTGTTTTCTACAGGCAAGGCTTTGCGAGTCACTCGCCCGAGGAAGCACGAGACTTTAGAGAGCACGTGGCGGACGATCACCGACGGCCGCCCGGTGCCCCTCGCCCGCCACCTGAAGAAAGCCGACACGTGGGACACGCAAGCCCGCGCCACCGCAGCCGACCCCGCCCCGCCTTCGACACCGGCTATGCGCAAGTCGGAGAGTATCGCCGTTCCCTCATCTGCCACTGGCGGCCCACCGTCATCCCCCTCTGTCTCCAGCGGTTCTTCGTCCTTGTCGGCCGGAAAGATCCGGCGAGAGCCGTCCCTGGGACAGGACGACCTTAACCGTCGAGTGGAAGCTTTCATCAAGAAGTTTAATGAGGAGATGCGGCTCCAGCGACAGGAGTCGCTGCAGCAGTATATGGATATGATCAATAGCTCCGGCCAGTAATTCAGATCCCAGGTGGAGCAAAAAAATTATAAAAAAAAGAGTTCTTTCTCCTAATAAATTCTTATTTAACTCTGTTTATTCTCCTGTTCAAACATAATAGATCCGTTATCTCCACATAAATTATGAACATAAAATTAAAAAAAAAAACTATCTTAAATATAGATTTATTCTACAGGAAAGATTTTGTTTTTCTTTTTTATTATGAAGATAGTATTGGAATGCTATGTTATTATCTTACAATTATCTCCTCATAAATATTTTTGTCATTTTACAAGACGTTGATTCGTTTTTATGTGTGGAATTTTGATTCGTGGTGGTTTTTTTGGATAGATAGACTTACTGAGGTGGTTGGGGATGCGTTGGAAATGGTAGGAGCTTGTTTTTATAGTATTATTTTGTTTTTTTTATTCTTGTGGATATAAATTGTTTTTGTAATTTATATGTGGTTTTGGTTGTATTTGCTTGGTAAGGTTTGGGCAAAAAATGTGTTGTAAATGAGAAATTTGGCTTTATATGTCTTATGATGATGGATTTGAATACCATATTATAAATTTTATAAGAATGGTTTGTAATTTCCTTTTCTTTTTTAATGTAAGAATGGTTTGTAAGATAGATAAAATAGAAAAATTTAGCGTTCATAAATTAGCTCTTGAGATAGCGAGCTAGATGGGCGAGTTGACTCTACGTGAAATTGATTGAGCTCGTATATATACGAGCTCTAGATTGAGACATGTTTAGGGTGTCATTAGATTAGTAGCGGTGATGTGTAACATTTTTATTATAATTTTTAAGGTCAAAGATGGGGGGACATTATTCTGTGTGGTCACCGGACTGTACGGAGGCGATTCACATCACCTGGTACACAATAATACATAGCACTGGTACACAGTAAAAAATGACATTGTTTGGCCTGATTCACCTTCGGATGTGTCTGACGATCGCACAGAATAATTTCCACAAAGATGAGAGATGTATATTAGTTGGTTTAAATTAGAAAAAAATATAATCGAATTAAACATATTTGATTGATTTGATTTAACTTTCTAGCTTTTTTTGCACTTCCATGCATATAATTCAAGTACAATTCCAAGTTTACAATTTTCAGTATTTGACATTCTTCTTTTATGCAATATCATAATTGATTTGATTTAACTTTCTAATCTTACTGCTGGTGTAGGTGATAGTGTTTGAAATGATAATTATATTCATAGCACCATTACATTTTTTATGCTTCACCCTCCTAAGATTATTATTGTTAACATTTAAATCATCTTCTTGTTCAAGGGGTCTGTTATCTCTAGCATTATTAGGCTTTTAAATTTAGGTTAAATAACTTAATTATATTGAAGTTTGATTTTGTTAGGTTATGCTGCCTAAAGGTATAAATGAGTCGAGTCAAGTTCTAGTCATCTTTGGCGATTAATTAATTGAGCTTGAGCTGTATTCTACGAGTTAACAGCCGACTCAACTCATTTATTTTAAAAGAGAGAAATTGATTGTGATTCAATTAATTATTGTAATAAAATGACAAAAGGAATGAAAAATTATTAAAAAAAATTTACTTAATATAAGAAAGTAAGTTATAATTTTTAAATAGTTGTAATAAATTTATATTTAAAACCCTATATATTTTAGGTGTTTTCTTTTTTTTTTGTCATTTAGACTAATTAAAGCAAACTCATACACACCACATACACAAGATTTGAATTCAAGACCTTTTGATTGGTAGTCAAAGTTCTCAACCAATAGATCAAAATGAGCTAAGTAAGTGTATTTTATAAAAATACTTTTTAAGCGACCCGAATTATGAGCTAATGAGTCTAATCAACACTAGTTCAAGCTTTGCTCGTTAGCTCATCAAGCTCGGCTCATGAGTAATTTATCGAGCCGAGCTTGAGCTAGCTCATGAGTCAGCTTGACTCACTTATATCCCTACTTTTTTCTTTTAACTTAGCTCACTTTAGTTGGTCTAGTAGATCAGACAACACATCCATCTAAACTAGTTAAATGCACACCTCTAATCAAAAGTTGTAGTTGATTCAATGAATATTTTGCAGTACAAATTGTTAATCCCGCTAATATTTTTACTAACATAAGTTGGATTTAATACATCTACTCTTTAGGTTATTATCAGAAAGCCAATATTTCATGTGATCAAATCATCTAAGACAACTCTCTCTAATATCATCTACTACTAAAACTTCTCCGACCTTTTCATATATATACTCAGTTTTGCATTTATCTCTAATTGTAAAACCATTCATCCACCTAAACCACCTCATATCTGCAACACTAAACTTAATTTTATTATTCTCTTTTAATGGCCAACAATTCGCATCATAAAACATCGTAAACTCTCACCACTATTTTATAAAATTTTCTTCTCAAGGTATTTTCTATCACACAACAAGCCCGATGCATTCGTCTATTTCAATCATCTAACTTGAATTCTATTGATAATATCCCAATATATTTTTTTATAATGTGGAGGCAAAAAATTATAGTCATATGATGCCTAAACTAAAAAATATAATATTGAAAAAAAAAAAATCCCATCATTCATGAAAAATGATATTAAAAACATCATTTTTTATAAATATTAAACTAAAATCCACACATTCATAATTTAGAACATTCAACTACTCAAAAAAGATCAAAATTTCATCATTTTAACAGCTTGAGATAATTTATGTCCTACGACTTCCTATGAGTATGTGATATGACTTGCTATGCTTTCTGTAATACAGCTTGCTAAAGAAGCTGAGCTGTATCACCACTTGGCCTTGAAAGCAAAAAGCTAAGGCTTCATTTGTGAAAAAATTATTAGGTGCAGAGTATGTACCGTCCGCACAAATATGAGTACCGGTACCCAGCGGAACCCAACAGTACCGAGTGCCGGTACCTAGCGCGTAATAAGGCTTGTGCGGACGGTTCTTCCCGTCCGCACTCCGCACCTAATAATCTCTCTGGTTTGTGACAGTTTTTTTGTTGCTTCTTAAAAAAAAATTTAAGTACAAAAATTAAAAATTTCATACTTAAAAGTTATTTTAAAAAGCAATAAAAAGCTGTCCCAAAAAAAACCTAAGTTTATAACATTTTAGCTAACCATCAAAGTCAAAAACACTGAAGCTTTCTGTTACGTTAACCTAACCATAATTTCTGACTTAAAAAGAAAAAAAAAATAGCAGATAAATACAATCATATGTGTAGCAGACTAAAGTTTCAGCATTCCTTCTTTACTGAATAGTTAGAGGAGACATACAACCTCACCTGCCATGTAAAATTCTCCTTCAAGAGGAAAAAAGACCTCATTTTAACCCTTTCCTTCAATTTCATTTCATATATTAATACAGTAAGGTCTTAACAATGCTATCTACAAATGCTATAGCCTGTAAATCTAGCTTCTGTATTTACAAAAATATCAACATTGGTGCATCAATGGTTAGGGACATTGCCACATTGGTAAATTAAATTATGTCAGGATTTTCTATTGACCATAAATTTTTATGTAAACATTGAAATCTTCTAGATTTTGCTAGCTCAACTTCCCTCAGGTTGTACAGGAATTTACAAGCTCCATTCTCTTAGCGATTAAGATTTCGTTTGGGCAGCTTTCTTCCTGCAGCTTTCTAAAATAAAAATTTAAATTTTTGTACAAGAAAGCCACTTCAAAAAGCAGAAAGAAAGCTGTCCCAAACAAAGCCTAAAAGAAAAAGAATGGAGCTTCCTCTATGCATTGCAATGCTTGGGCTGCTCTAGCTCAGAAAACTGAAGGTTGTGAGGATGCAGTTACCTTGCCAGGATAGATTTTGATCACCAACTTGGTTGCCTTTTGCTTAAAGTTTTGACTTGCTTGGCATCCTTAGATATTCGGAGTAAGAAGATTCATAGAGTTCACAGAATTAGCAACTGGAGATGGTTCTTCCTCCCGTTCAGGCTGCAAGTTTAGATCAATCTGTGTCTTGATAGGAGATGGTGCAGTTCGTTTCCTCTCAGATTCAGCATTGACCACAACGTTGTTTTCAATTGGCATCTGAGGGGAGCTGTTTGCACCTGAATTCTGAAGAAGAGGATATGGTGGAGGCCATGATATCACAGCTTCTTTCTCTGATTGGCGTTTTTCCCGCCGGAGCATTAGCGTTCGAAACCGGCGCTTAACAGTGAGGCAGACATTACAGTCGCAAGTCTGCTTATGCTTTGGGCCTTTGCCACTGGGAGGCTGGATGCAAACAATGCAGGTACATCCGGGACGGTGGCGAGGATGCTTTGTTGTTGGCTGGGAGGAAGAAGGTTGTGATTTTCCTTCCCCTAGAATGGCAAGGTTGGCAAGCGTGTCAAGCCCATCAATGACTTCAGCATTCTCATTTACATTCTCATTCTCATTCTCAAATATCACATTTGATCTCTTGCAGGAACCTTGGCATAGAATCAAAACAGGTATAGTGCCGTTAAAATTCATCGACTGGAGAAAGAAGACATAATAATCATAAAACTAAGTGAGAAAATTGAATGCAATATAGTTGATATTGCCTAATTATATCATGCAGTATTTCCTATTAATGACTGGTTTCCCTAGTTGTGCTCAACAAAATGCAACGAACAGTGGATAGACTAGTACAAAAGCAAAGTCAAGAGTGTCTCAAGCAAAAACATTTGATAGTAAGGCATACCAGCTCTTGAGGGGAGTAAATGTGTAATCTCTGCAGAACTTTCCTGGACAGCTGAGCAAGAGGATCTGTATTTGTCAGAAAATAGATGCTCAGCAAATAGAACATGATCAGCTCTATTATAGCAATTAAAAAAAAAGGAATAGAAACACACTTGCAGGACTCTCTAGCAAATGAGAAAATGAACTACTAGAACTGCCCAAATTGCTTCTATTTGAGACAGCTAAAGAAAGCAATATGATCAATTTAGGAGAAATAATAATAGCACCATACAAAAATATATAAGGAAACAAAAAAGCACAAACATAAACTAATGCTAGGATTTATGTGATTCACTCAAAAAAGAGCTACATAGATGGGATGAGGAAGCATATAAATAAATTCACAATAAAAAATGTATGAAAATACAAAAAAAAAAAAATAAAAAAAAAAAAAGTAAAAAAAAAAAAAAAAAAAAAAAAAAAAACATCAGAAAAACAAGGGAGGGAAAAATATCTCACCAAATTTTGAACGCCAAAAAGGAAAAAAAACTCTCATTTTCCAAATTCTTTAAAGAAAACAATAAAGAATAAATTGATCAACTCTTCTCAACCAAATCACAATAGCCATGGAACCTCAATCTCCCTCTATGATCCCAAGTTTGATCTGCAAGACAAGAAGCTAAAATCAAGAAGTCCATTGTATAACCGGTTTGACTAAACCGGTCCAGTAGAAGTGAATGCGAGCGAGCGAAGCAGACAGAGCTCAAGCGGGCAAGCGGAGCGGCCCAACCGCATGAGCGAGTGGGCCGGGTCGAAGTGAAGCGAACGATAACGGGCGTAAAGTGATCAAAGTGATCGACGCAACTCCTCAAGAGGGTAAATGATTGATTTTACTCGGTTTTGGGAGAAAAGTTGGAAGGAGAGAAAAAGAAGAGTTCGAGTAAGGAACACTATATATGGAAGAGGCGTCAAGGAAATGAAGTATCGTTCACTAGAAGAACGTTGTGTGCTTCACCTGTAGGAGAATAGAAGGATTGCTGTTTTTAATCGCAAACACAGAAGGAAGAGTTGAGTATTTTTTTTCTTTAAACTTAGAGAGAGAAATTCATGATTTCCAATTTTATCTAAATTAATTTGTTCATTTATTTCTTAGAGAAGAAAAAAAGAATAAACGGCGATTTGTGCCATTTCAACTCAACAAGGATTTTTTTTTTTATAAATAATGCAAATTATTTAAGTGAAATTTTTTATCAATTTCAGGGAATATTATATACAATGCGATCATAAATATATTTTGTTAATTTGGAGGAGTTTCACACATTCAGCATTATCATTGAGACATTATGTGTTCGTCGGTAATTTGATAATTTTTTACTTCTTTAGAATTTAGTATATGATATTTAATGCATACAGTAAAGAAATTTAATTGTTGAGCTGAGACAAAATATCATAATCAAGCTAAGGTTCTGAGAAAAAAAATTGGGTAAGAGTTAAATAAGTTAATGCAAATTTAATTTGAAATAGGATGCGCTTCTAAAATAGTTGTGGCATTACATATTTGCGTTCTTGATTTTAGTTGATGCACTGAGGGTTATTAAGAACTGAAGAAATTTAAAAGAATTCCAACACGCACAAAAATGAAGTGTATGATTACAACCTTTTTTACAAGAAAGGTATTCTAGATTTTGGTAGCAGTTAGGAAGATCACATTCCTCTGATCGAGTGTACTTACAATAACATTTTTCAATCAAATATAAGTATGACTCCATATGAAGCTCTATATGATATGAAGTGCATGACTCCTTTTACATTGACAAAGGTGGGTGCAAGACATCTGATTGGGCCAGCCTTAGTTAATGATGCTATTGAAAAGATTCGTTTGATCACACAGGTAGATTAAAGGTTGTACATGATAGGTAATAAAAATATTTAGATGTTAAGCATCGAGATGTGAAATTTTAAGTAAGAGATTTTGTATGTGTAAATATCAGATCGATGAAATGCATTAACATATTTGACAAGAAAGGTAAGTTGAGCCTAAGATATGCTGGACCATTTGAAGTTGTTGAAACGTTTGAGAAAGTTGCATAAATATTACAGTTGTCCAATCATATGTCAGAAATTAATAATGTGTTCTACATGTCACTTCTGAGAAAATAGATATATGATTCTGGAAACAAGATATTTGCCTAAGACATCAAGGTATGTCCGAATCTGACCTACAGGGAAGAACCAGAAATGATTCTAGCTTATGATGTCAAAAAGCTAAAGATAAACAAATTCTTATGCTTAAAGTTCAGTGGAAGAACAGGGCTGAAAGAGAAGCTACTTGGAAAAAAGTCTAAGAGGCGACAACTGTATTCTACTTTGTTTTTATGATATGAGATCTGACTTTTGAAATGTCGATGATAACGTTCCTTTTTAGGGGAGTTGTGACACCTGCAAGTTCAGTATCTGGATTGACTTATTCTGACCCAATTGGAAAAAGCCTCAAGAAGAAGATTTGGGGAGAAAAAAGAGGATTTTTTAGTCATTTCGGGTTGTTTTCAACCATCAGCCCAGTTCAAAATATTGTCTGAATCGATGTAGGTCATATTATGCATATCTCAATTTTCAAAATTATAAAAATTTAATGAATTTTTCGATTAAATTTGTATTTATATTAGCGAAAAATGCGTATAATTTCGCACTGGTAAAATTTTCACCGCATATTTTTTATATATTATAGAGAGCATGATTATGAATATTTAAATATTTTATGAAAATTTTATACCAGTTAATTTGAAGTCTGTGCAGTTTTAATTGAAAAGAAAATAATCTTGACACTGAAAAACAATGCAATAGTTCAATAAATGTTTTAAAATGGTGTTTTACACATTTCTTTATAATTTGGTGTTGTTCTGGCATTGTGAAAATTTGCTCAGTAGAAAGTTCATTTTTCTATCATTATAGAACACTGAAATTTTGACCTATGCTAATTTTTTCTTTAATTATTAAAATATGATGAAATATATGCCTATATGATGAGATATATGCTAATATGATTGAAAAACATCAACTGAGAGTTATAAGATGTCAGAATCCTTTGAGATTATGTCTATGCTAGAGATTATTTTGGTGCCTATAAGGCATGTTCTAGTGGTTATAAGTCATGTTCTGGTACCTACGGGCATGTTCTAGTGCTATAAGTACAAAAGGGAGAGACATAAGGATCCAAAATACTTTGAGATTTTTGTCTTGGACCGGGATATGTGATATAAACTACTTTATGATATGAATTGCAATTTATTTCTGCTCTTGAATAACTATTATGTTTAATATAGTGATCTATTAAACTGCATTTAATTACTTTTAAATATTCAGCAAAATATTTAATAAGATGAATTTGAAAATTTAGATTGACTTGTGTGATTTAATGAGCTGTTGTAGTTCACTATGATTTGCTTATGATTTTTAGGATCTAGGAAAGGGAATATGATTATCGATTAGCAGTTTAAGATCATATCTGAATTGATAGGCATTTTGCTATTTTTATTTTTGTACATTTATGACTAATTAAAATTTCAATTTTGTAGCTCTTGCCTGTAGCCATGTGTTGTAGTATATATTTATTTTGATAAAATTAAATAAATTGTGGATGAGTTTATTTTTAGTATTTGAATATTTTAGTAGCTTTATAGTCTATAGTTTTATCTGAAATGAAATTAAAAGATAATCTGAAACATTCCAAAATTAGATATTGGGATTTGCCTGTCACAGCTCAACATGATAGGTCCTCTCCTAATCAGGTTGCGGTGTGACATCTTTGTCCCAGCTGCAAGGCTCACACGCACGAGAGCCTACTCGACTGATCTTCTCATTACAATTTCCCTCACAAGCATAAGCCGGACCTCATCCCGTCAACACCTGTGATCCAATCCACTCCTCTCTGACCTCAATCGACTAAGACTAGCCAACGTCCATCTCCCCACTTCACCGTACCTAGCCAACTTCTCATATACAAAGCAACCCCCTCCATTCACAAATTGAACCCGACTGCTTGAAGCCGAACCTCCAAGCCATTCAAACTCCTGCAATCATCATCCCTAATCTCCTTTAACCCATAAACCTAATCTTTCCCCTCAACTATTATTATAATTAGTTATTATTAATTAGTTTTATTAGAATTACTGTTATTAATATTATTAATATTAGTATTACTATTTTTATCGTTATTGTTATTCAGTAAAAGAAAAAGAAGAGCAAGATCAAAAGAAAAAAAAAAGAGGGGAATAAAATTAAAAAAAAAAAAACAGAGAAGAAGAGAAAAGTCATTTTAAAAAAAGAAAGAGTAAAGAAGAAATAGAGAGAAGATTTCTTTACTATGACATCAACGCCATCATCTCCTTATGCAAAAAGGTATAATTATCTCAAAACCTGAAAACTCTAAAATTCATGTTTTCAATGCACGCAGCATGCCAGGGAACCACCCCTACACGCTCTCGTAGCGTGGTGGGAGGGAACCTGGTGTGATGCTTGCAGCGAGATTGGTAAGCCTTTAAGCCCTTTCTTAGCACGACGAGGACAATATTAAGTACTCGTGCATGAGATACAATGCTTACAGGAAAAAATTGCAAATTTTTTACATAGGTACCTTAAAGACCTCTACACGCTCTCTTAGCATGGTAGGATTGAAGACTACGGCTGTGGTGTCGTCCAACACCTATCCTATGTGCTCTCATCACGTAGTAGAAAAGGCCCAGCTCCCAAAATTCTCCTAAACAGAGGAGATGTTGGGAGACTGCTGAAATTCAAACTAAATTGAGGACCTGACTTAAATAGAAATATAGTGGACTTGACTTAACCAACTCATATGAAAATGAATTTATGAACTAATAAATAGGGAACCGGACATTAAATCAATAAATGCGTGATGAAGCTCAAAATACAAATAATGAATGATAATCCTATTTATTTTATTGAACATCAATGAGTAAATAAAGCAGTGATAGTGATGAGGACATCGGAGATCAACGGCTACGATCTTGAGTTATTTATTTATATGCTTTTGTACTAGTTTATTTCATTTTGTTTTTTCCCTTTATACCCTTATGGGTGGTCATGTAGTGTTGTAGCCCGAAGGGCATTTCAGTCTTTGTTATTTTTTTTTCTCATGAGGCCTATTTATAGGCTAGCTTTCTTGTATTGAGGGGATGATGATTGAATGAAAATTTTGCTCTTGTGTTCTCTTTGTGAGTTCCTTCTTGAAGATCTCTTAGTGAGTTATTTTTCCTAGATCTCTGTGTGAGTTCTAGGGAAAGCCCAAGGTGAGGGCAAAAGCAATCCCCGCCAGTCATTGGAAGCGTCCTTGACTCGTGGTTTATTTTTATCTTATTGTTTTCTTCTCCAAATCTCGTTTTCCTCCTCCCCATGCCAAGCCCTACCGAGTTCCCATCATCCACCACGTTACTCATTAGCTTCTTCTATACCACAAACCCAAGATCACCAAGAAATCCCAAAACCGATGGCAAGCCCCTTTTCCTCCTGTGGCCGCCGGCCACCACCTTGCATCCAAGCCATGATGAGATGCCATCATCATAATGGCTCCTTGATTGTGGCCTAGCAATAAAGGAGTTACCGATTTTGAATTTCAATTTGAATTCAAACTTTCCATTTTTGCAAAATTCCTAAATGGAAAGTTTTCGAATTACCAATCCAAATTTCATGACATGTGGAATTATTAATTTTCATCCTAGGTGGAATCGACTCAATTGGAAAGCACCTAATCCTCCCTAATTTCCCTCCCCCTCTCACCATGCCGCCGGCCCCATGAAGGAGCTCTCCCCATTGATTGCTCCTTAATGCCCATCCTATTTGAAATTGAAATTGATTTCAAATAAACTTTCCCATCCAATTTGAAATCCCAAAATACATTCAATTAAGGCCATAAATAAGGAAACTTTCCTCTTAATTGAAATATGGAACTTCCGTTCCAGATTTTTTGAACAAATCTGTTATTAAATTGAGGCCCATGGTAGTTAATGCAAGCCTTTCTCTCTCCTTATGGCCGGCCAACTCAACCCCATTACTTCTCTTCTAATTGCCCACCTTCATCTCTCTTAATTACCTCCAAATGCCTCCCCACTCCAACGTAAGTTCAGTTTTTTACCTGATTTCAAAAATCTGAGAGTGGAAAGGCAAGGTTATTCCCTCTCAGATTTCCTCTCCCCGTTACTTAATGTGGCTTGTCTCCAAGCATTGCTACTGAGTTTTCTTCCTAAATGAGAGTGGAAATCCTCTCAGATTTTTTGAGAAGAAAAGCTGAAACATTTCAGATTTCTCCAGACTACACTTGCTGTCCTGCGCCGAACACTCCTGTTTTGGTGTCCAGAGAGGCTGCTGTCCTGAATATTTCGACGAGACAAACTGCTGTCCTGCACTCCATGAACCCCCGTTTGCTGTCCGAGAAAAGTCCGGCTGCTGTCTCAGGATTCAAGCAGTTTTCTTGTGTTGATTCGCCATCCGGAAGGCTCTCATTGGTTGCTCAGAAGACCCCCCACTGCTGCCCACACTCAGGACTTCTTCAAATTCAGCCCACCGGGACTCTGGATCTTCTCCCTTGCTACTCAAATTCATCTAAGAATTTGACGATGGTGAACTCTTCCCCAAGTTTCCTATTTTCCTAGTTTATTTTCAATTTTGGTTATATTTTGACTCACAAAGTTCATGTCAAGCTCTTCACGCTAAATCTTAGAGAACTTAGAGAGTTGTGTGAGGGATCTTTCATAGCCTAATCTTATTGTTAGCATTGGAATTTCTCGTTGAAACCACTCATGTACGCAAAGTAAGACTTAGTTGACTATTTAATGATCTCAACCTCTCGCATGTGTTTAGACCTAAGCTATTTTATCACCTTAATGTTATCTTATCGTTTACATCAATAGAGGTTTTTGCTTAACATTGCTCTCTAAAATTTACAAGTGCAAACTTTCTTAAGCAAGTCATTTTCGCATGGATTGTATCACATCAGATAGTAGATAGATATGTTGCAGGTATAATGGATCCCTTGTGAACGTGCATGTGCAATGTCTCATTTACAAACAAGGACCAAAGATTACAACAAATGTAGAAGGACAACAACAAATGAAAGCGCCTATGAGTTACTGCAGGAGATTCGTTAGTGCACGAAAATCTACATGTATAAAGCAATAAATGATCCATAGTTCAACGCTATGATTCAACTGTATGCAAAAGCAAGGAATCAGTAGTAAAAACCTGTGGGCTACTGAAGCGCAGCACTACGCCATCAGATCCATAACAATCATATAAGCAGACATAAGACATTTTCAAATTCACAAATAAAACCCTGTGCGTTTCTCAATGACAGTCATTTGCACAAGCTAATCAGTGCAAAAATATCCATCATGAATTAAAATTTGATCATCCGCATGAGCCCTAGCGAGCGTGTAGTATGCACAGATGTGACATTTGAGGATGCAGCGCGAGTCAAACAATAAACTTAAGTTCAAACCCGATCTTCTTATGCGAATAAATATGAGTCAACATGGCTCAAACCATCAAACAAATATATGGTTTCGACGTCAACTGATATAATTATCTTAACACATTCATATTAGGCCTTCAAAGTCTATAATAAAAAAAATTCACTGATAAAGGCATAAAGATGACAACGAACCCGATCCTCTATCGATAAGTAAATAAGTCAACAAGGTTTGACCAATGAAATGAAATTGCTTAATGGTACCTCGATGATGGTCATGTTGATCGAAAACTCAACTGGAAGAGACCCCAAGTATTCAAAAATGCCTCCCAAATGCCCATGAAAATCTCAATAATGGTCGTGTTGATAGAAAATCTCAATCAGAATGGACCCCCAAATATTCAAAATGCCTTCCAAATTTCCATGAAAACTAAAAATTAAAAAAATACCAAAACCTAAAATATTTAAAACCGAAATAAAACATCTAAACACTTAAAGCGAAAATTCATCCACCCTCCGCAATATTTTGCAGAGGTGGACAAATCTGAAAATTACTTTAACTCATAATGAGCGAATGTCTGGTCGAGAATATCACTAAGATTTTATCTCAATCCATCTCTTGCGAGTAAAGGCATGACACGTGTCCTCTAATCGGTGGCTTTGCCTCCAAATGGCACCACAGGTAAACAGTTATGAATGGGACCCTCCGACCAGGTGATTTTGCCGTCAAATGATACCATTAAATTACGGTCATGGTCAGAGCCTATATGTTCCCCAATGTCGTTAAATCATTAATCACTTAATCAATAAGATATGACCGATAGGACACAAAACCCTCTATTAGCTAAAGTGATTTCAAATTTATCCCTTTAGATAAATATTCACCATAGGTTTATAAGGTACCCTTAGACAAAGCAACCCATGGCTGTCGACATGGATCCTTCTGTTAGGTTGGGTCGACTACCTCCTCTGACTAAGTAGATCATGGATCATTATGACCCGGGACGACGGAATCATGGGATCTTGATCAGGTCCATCATCACTCCCCCTGCTATTTGCTTTAAGTGCAAGGTGGTAAATTTCTGATTTTAAATATTAAATTTTCAAATACCTAAAACATGATGCTACTATATGCCAGATACTTCGTATCTGTTTAACCATTAGCCTTAATCTAAAGTTATCTCTCGCTAGTGGGAGGGGTGTGCCTTTAGGAAAACTGAACTTAGATCATAAAGTCCTTGCAAAATGAGGGCGAAATCTCTGGGTGATGTCTTATTCACAATCCAATATGTCTTCTGAAAATTTGTCTCGGAACTTGTTAAAACTCTCCTTGACGACCCTAAGAAAAAAGAAGGGTCCGCAAAGAGGCTAGTGCGCAAATTTTCGAAGCCCTGAATCTCTGAGAAATAAGGAATCAATCAATCCATTATTCTTGGCCAATTGCAACCGCCGTAAACCTAAATTTCTCTTAGGTTCTCAAGCCCAATGTTTAGGACAAGCTAAAGTTGTATCACTTGAATCTGCTGCTAGTTAGCTCTCCAAAAACAAAATCAAACTATTAAGGGTAATTTTATCCAAGACAAACTAGAAAAACCCCTACAAAATAGAGGTTCACATGATTTTGAACAACCACAACACCATTATAAGATAACAAAGATCAAAAGAGCACAGAGAACAAAAGCATATAACAACATACCAAAAGGTGCTTAATTACCTTTTAGGGTCCCACTTGTTATCAGAACATGTCCACCTATAATTCGGATGAGAATCCAACGGCAACCTGCGCCACTTCAAACAATCCTCACACTGTGCCCATCTGTTATTAATACTCCTGAGTTTCCAATAAAGAGTAAGCTTTTAATAGGGCAAAAGAGCAAGCTCCATTCTTATTGAACAGTAAAACAATCTCATCATAGTAAGAAGAGCTCTCAAAAAGATTAATAACAGTTAACTTTAGGATTTGCTTTATGACTTTTCTGTCATTCATTCATTTTAAGAAAACATTTTGGGTTACTTTTGGTTGAGCAAATCTTGTTGAATTGTGTCAAATAAATTTTCTTTTAGTCGGTTTCATGAACCCTTTTTCTTTACTAACACAATTACAGTAACCTTGACGTGTTAGAAGAAACCTCACATGTCCACTGAACAAAAAAACTCGCTCATGAAACATTGATCACTTCGAAGGCGATTATTGGTAACAAACAAAATGATGAAAACCTGAAGATAGAAATAGGTGCAAGATCCTTGTCATGACTATAGTACAAGATCCTAGTCATGATTATTGGTCCTAGTATAGGATCTTGCACCTATTGCTAACATCATCCACATACAGATTATTGCTAACAGCAATAATAGGACAAATCTTGTCAAATAGCATCCACATACTATATCAGGAACCTAAGCATCCTTCACCATCCAAGTATTTTCTTGCATGAACCTTCCAAGTTTGTAACCCCTTAGCACAAGAAGTACGAAGTACTTTAAAGTTTTTTAAAAGAATGATGGAGCCAGCAACTTTAAATGAGGATAACAATCTTGATTGCATCAAAGCTTCTGGGATTCTTCCAGCATCTTCATTTCACCATATCACCCATTTGTGCCAAATATCAGCATACTTCATAACTGCTTGCTGAAATTTTTCAAGTAACTTGCGGAAATATGTTAGAAGGCTCCTTAAATAATCTTGACCACTATATGTATACCAACTATTCATTGCCTTTCAACATTACAAGACAAACTAATTTATCTGCAAAACACTATCCAGACCAATAGCAAGGGAAAAATAGATATTCTAAATTTAATTTTGCATTAGTTTTCAAACACTCATTTTAATTATTTTATATGCTCACGTGAGAATTAGTTTATAATATTTTTCGTGGAATCACCAATGTTTCACTTTTGTACAAAGAATGAATCAAAGTTGCTTTATTAATCTTTGTCAGTGTACTTTTACGCAATAAGAAAATATTTTTAATTCTAAAAGTTAAGCTATTTGCCTATTTGTGTTGATAACTCATTTCACAATTACCACTCAGATTCTCTTCAAAACATCCATGCGCTAAGTTAATTTCTTTTGTACTTAAAGATGCATATATTTCATCTCTTTAACAAATGCCTACTGCGAAACTGAGGACATTTAAATGCTTCAATTATGTACAGCCTGCACCCTGATCATTCAAGGGCCTAGTGGTTATCCATAACTGAGATGGATGCGATACATGCATGACGCTAGGCTTCCCAGCTCCACCCACGAAGCTCCACATGACGCCGGTGGCTATGGCTGGGGTAGTTGCTAGTGATTACACAAGCACCTAGGTTGGCTTGTCTCAGCTTGACTTCATAAATAGACACACACTGATCCCAAAGGCAAGAAATCACTTCAAAGTATCAGAAAAAAAAACTAAATCGAAAGCCCCATCTACATAAGGGCATATCCTGCTTGTCAACAGCAAAAAACCTAAGTAGTCACTTGCCAACCCGGTCAAAATAAGTGCAAGGCAAAAGGAACAATTTTGTATTAACTTCTCAAACTTCCCTTGTTTATTGTACATCATATTTCGGACTATATTCTGATTTTATGACTAAACCATGTTTACTTCAAATAAAGGTAGCATGCATCTCAGTTTTTAAACCTAATGTCGATACTTGGCAAGAGACATGAAGTTGCTTGTAAACCCTCACATTGTATAGAACAAATGCATTCTCTAAACAACCAGTTGATCAGGTCTAGAAGCTAACTAAATTGAATTTGAGTTGTGGATCAACTATGGTAGACCTTAATAGCTCATACTGCATTGAGCTTTATTAATCATATTTGTTGAAATGCATATGAAAGAAAAATGTGATTGAACAAATGTTCGTAAAAGATCAATGCTCTGGCCTCTGAGCATTGCTTGCAAAGATAATCTTAAAAGATGAAACAAGTATGTATGCCCTGATGCATTGGTAAAGAAAAAGGAGAACGTATATCAGGAAGAACTAAAAACAAAATACCAAAACAAAAGAAAGCTCATAATAACAGATGAATCATAATTTTATGCATACATCCAAAAAATCAAGAGCTATTAACAATAAAATAATTTGTAACTCTTTTCAAATATTTCATAGTGGAAAATGCCAAAATGATAAAAGTCAACTTAAAAAGTTTAAGGACAGCAAGAAATAGAAGCAAAAATTACCCTTCGTGATTTTTGGCGAAATACATGGGCAATCCAAGCACTGGAGCTTCCTGTTTTTAATAACAAAATGCTTTATCGCATATGAAGTTTCGAATCATAACAAATGACAATAAAATTCACAATACAAAAAATGCATAAATAATAATTAAGCCAACTGATGTCGATAACAATAATCTGGAACCAAATAGCAAAATTTTGGAGAAACTTTCTAATAAATCTTCATCATTATTGCACATGTACTAACCCATCGGCTTTCCCACTAACTTTTACAGATTAACGTGAATAAAAGACGAGGAATAAAAACATAAAAAGTATGATCCAAATAAAAAAGTAAAATAAAATGAAAAAAAAAATTTTCGGGGGGGCATTTAGGCCAATTAAGCCAAACTTACACACACATCACCATACGTAATACTCAAACTCAAGACCTCATAGTTGATAGTCAAATCTCCCAATCAACAGATCAAGGTGAGCCGCATAAAAAATGAATTTTAACAATGTGATTGTCCATAATGTTTAACATAGAAATATACATAATACACTAAACTCTAGCAATCACTTCACCCTTAGTATTAGCTTCATTAAGATTACCTCCAAATAACATTATGTTAATACCGCAACGAATATTTTGCTGGAAAGTTAAAAAACAAAGTCAGCATGATAGAATATATGCTCGGAATTAGGAGAGAATTTGATTTGAATTTGAAACTTTTGGCTATGATATCATGTTCTATGTTTGACATAGAAGATAAGCTCATCAACCCCGAGAAAAACGGATGAGGACATCAGCAGGAGATTCTGGAGCATCTATTATAGAAGACATTGTAGATCGACGGCTACAATTATGAGTCTTTATTTGTGATGCATTTATGTATTTTTATGTTTTGGTTTTTACCATTGTACCCCTGAGAGGGATTAGTTTGTGCTGTAGCCCAGCGGGCAATTTAGTTTTTGTGTCTTTTGTTCCTTGAGGCCTATATTTGAAGGCCATAGCTTTTGTATTGGTTTTGATGATGACTTTGAATGAAATTTCAACACTTGTTACTTCTCTTTGTTGTGAGATCTTGAGAGAGGAGAGAACCCGAAGAGAGGGCCAAGCAAAATTCCCGTCAGCCACCGGTAGAGTCTGAGCTCACGGTTTGTATCCGTTCTTATTTCCCTCTCCCTTACCTTCACCCTCATACCGCCGCCCACCCACATCCTTCCCCCCAAACTTTCGGCCAATTAAGCCAAACTTACACACACATCACCATACGTAATACTCAAACTCAAGACCTCATAGTTGATAGTCAAATCTCCCAATCAACAGATCAAGGTGAGCCGCATAAAAAATGAAGTTTAACAATGTGATTGTCCATAATGTTTAACATAGAAATATACATAATACACTAAACTCTAGCAATCACTTCACCCTTAGTATTAGCTTCATTAAGATTACCTCCAAATAACATTATGTTAATACCGCAACGAATATTTTGCTGGAAAGTTAAAAAACAAAGTCAGCATGATAGAATATATGCTCGGAATTAGGAGAGAATTTGATTTGAATTTGAAACTTTTGGCTATGATATCATGTTCTATGTTTGACATAGAAGATAAGCTCATCAACCCCGAGAAAAACGGATGAGGACATCAGCAGGAGATTCTGGAGCATCTATTATAGAAGACATTATAGATCGACGGCTACAATTATGAGTCTTTATTTGTGATGCATTTATGTATTTTTATGTTTTGGTTTTTACCATTGTACCCCTGAGAGGGATTAGTTTGTGCTGTAGCCCAGCGGGCAATTTAGTTTTTGTGTCTTTTGTTCCTTGAGGCCTATATTTGAAGGCCATAGCTTTTGTATTAGTTTTGATGATGACTTTGAATGAAATTTCAACACTTGTTACTTCTCTTTGTTGTGAGATCTTGAGAGAGGAGAGAACCCGAAGAGAGGGCCAAGCAAAATTCCCGTCAGCCACCGGTAGAGTCTGAGCTCACGGTTTGTATCCGTTCTTATTTCCCTCTCCCTTACCTTCACCCTCATACCGCCGCCCACCCCACACCTTCCCCCCACTTTCGGCCAAGCCTCTCCCAATCTCCTTCCCCACCCCCCCCCGGCCAAGCCTTACCCCAAGCCCAACCACCGGTCTCGTACCCAATTTCCTCCAAAAAGCCGCCTCCCTCCTCAAAACCGCTGGCATCCCTCCCCTCTCCACCTCAACCGTCGGGCTACCTTCCCGACACCTATAATAGTAGACAAGGGGGGGGGGGGGGGGGGGGGGTCAACTTCAAGCCAAAAAATTAATATTGATTTTTGACTTCCCTCGAGTTTACAACTCAAATCCAAAATTGAGCTGAAATTTAACTCATTTAATGAGCTGGTCTTTAAGGTTAGCTCATTATTAGTAGCATTTAGTTCATAGTTATCTTTTTATTAAATATAATTTTTTATTATTTTTAATGTCTTAATTATGTTTGTTCTCTTGGAATTCCAAAACCGGCCTTTGGAATTCAAGAAGTGTTTGTTTCCATGCCGTGGCTCTTAGGCTTCCACGGGTGGGCTGCTGTGTTTTCCGTTGCCATGGCCCTTGGATTTCCCGCCGGCTCTGGTTTTTCCGAGCCTGGGGTTTTTTCCCGTGGTATGGCCTTAGTTCCGTGCGGCCTCTTCGGCTCCCTGGTGGCTCCTCTCGGTATCCTAGGTTGGGCGTGTTTCCGCATGATGCATGGGGGGATTTCCATGCTTGTGTGTGCTTGGATTCGGGTGAATTCAATGCCAAGTCTTTTCGTATTCTCTTCTCATACCTATATATATGAGATGGTTTGTTATGTTTTAAAAAGTGAATGATATGTTATTTTTGGAAATGTAAACCTGCGGGTTTCATTGGAAAAGCTTACGAGCTTTGTCCACCTTCTTTCTCAACCCCTCCGAAAATCTTGCGAGCTCTTTCCAACCTTCGTCTTGGCTTCTAACCTCTTTCGTCTCTCCGCAAGTGCCACTCTACCTATATCATTCTTCTCAAAGTGAAGCAATTTTAGGGTGTCTTTAATTTCGAGTCAAGATTGTAAGTCGTTGTAATTTTATTTTTTTAAAATTTCTAAGTCGGTCTTAGATTTGAAATATAAGAATTTGTTCTAATATCTCTAAGTAAATCTCTTCCTTTTGTGTCTCTTCTATTACCTAGTATAGAGTCTTTTCCTTTTTTGTGATAAAAAAATATAGGGTCCCCTATATTTTTTGGTTGCATCACCCTAGCTGCCAATCCACTCATCCACAAGTCCCTTGATTTCAAATTCAAATTGCCTCTTAAATACATTCCTAATTTATCCTATTATTAATTTGGAAAGTCTCTTAATTTGAATTCAAATAGATTTGAATTTCAAAACTTTTTTCTAATTAATAAATCTATTTTAGGAAACTCCCCTAATCGCTCCCAATCTAAAATTAATTTGGATTTAATTCCAAATCCCACATTCATTGCATGTAGACACATTCGTTGAATGTGGACACCCTTCTCCTCCCTCCTTTGGCCGGCCCCCCTACCCCTCTCTCTCTCTCTTAATTAATTCCTCTCATTAATGCTCTCAATCAAAGCCCCTCCCATCTAGGTATGCCACCCCACCCTAGCTCAATATGAGGAAATTCAAATTTTGAATTATTCCCTCCTTCCCTCCTTGAAATCTGAAATTAAATTTCATATTTTTAAATTGTTTTCCCTCCACCAACATAAACCTAAAATCTGAATTAAAATGGCCCCTCCCCTAGCCTTGGCTGACCACCCAAACCTCTCCCTCCTCTCCTTCTCTTCTCCTTTGCTTCATACACCATCCAACAAAGAAGAAATACAACTCCGACCTAAGTCCCCATGAATGGTCGATCCTGAACAAGACCATGTGTTCATATACGATCATCATCAGGGACGAGTAGATGTGTTGAGATCACCCTTCTTCAAAATCAACTTGAAGATATAATGGGTAAAACTTTTAAAAAAATAGTTTGTTTCCGCTAGTATTTTATTATTAAAAAAAATAGATAGTTCTGATTATTATTATTAAAAGATAAAAGATACAATTTTTTCTGAATTAAATTCTAGCACATGACATATACCCTTGCCCATATGTGGATATTTTGATTTGTATACATCATTTATCGAACACCTGAATAAGCTGCATTTAGATATCAAAGAACAAATTGATTTGCGAGATGGAATGGGTAAACTTTAGTTGATGTCCATAGAAAAACTCATGAATATAATGAAGTTGATTATGTGTTAGTTTGTGTTCACTCTGAAAATTTGTCACATAACTCCTTCAAGAAACTCCATGCGAGCTTTAAGGCCTCACAAAATATTAAGTGTAGACCAATGGCATATATTATTGATCTTCCAATATTAATCTAATGTTTAATATTCAAAATCTAATATCATATAGAGGTACTTTTGAGACACCAAAGTTTGCTATAGGTATCTCTAAATTTGGAGTTTCTACATCTCTTCCACTAAAACCAATCTCAATTTTTCCTTCTACAGCTGCATCAGTCCCAATTGTTAAGTAAACTTTGTCATGTGAGATTATCCTAGGTTATTTGGGCAAACAATCTTACTTTATTAGATGAAGAGCTCATCCACCAACAAATGACTTGTGGGTGACCCTTGACAAGGTTCAGTGCATCTCCAATGAAATTCTAAATAAGTACCTTCAGCATAACTCTCCAAAGAAGAGTTCTTTACACCTAAGAAGTATTGATGACGACTGTCTAACCTGAATTTATGTTCAACAATAACAACGAAATTTATTAAATATTCCATTTCTTTATTTATCAATTTGTATATTGGAAAATTTAAAATTTTATTATATTAGGGTTATTACTTTGTATTAGAATTATTTTTCTACAATTGTGCCATTGCTTTATTTTCTTATAACCTTACAACTTTTTCATTATAAATAAGGACCACTAGCGCTAATTTGGGACATTGAGTATTAAAAAAAAATTTTAATTTGGGACATTTGAGTATTAAACAAAATTTTGAGATTTTTTTTCTCAAGGTTGTCCATAGTAGACCCCCCTTTTGTTTGTTATACCTATCTCTACTCTCATATCTTCTTCCC